TTTTCTTTCAAAAATTTTTAGCTAATTTTAGAAAGTTATCTTATAGTATTATTTTATTAAGTAACTATACAAAAACCAAGTAAGAAAAATTGAGGATTTTGATTGGGATTACATTTGGTTTGAGGCTAATTTTATAAGAAGTATGCTTTCCACTGAGGATCAAGTCTGTCTTTCTGAATAATAAGGTGTTTTAGTCTCATACCCCATTTATGTATAGTCCCTTGTGCATGCTAGGCAAGTGTTCTACCATAGAACCTATTGTGGGTGTTGTACTCTATGAAGTGTTTTAAAGTTGTTACTGTGACTCACATCTTTTTCTTCTTGGTAGCTATTAATACTATATAGGAAAAATATGGGATTTTATTGTTTGCCTAGTGTCTAGATCCATTAACGAATTCTTTCTCTAGTGGGTTAATTTTGGATAATGGTTTTGAATTTCCTTAGCAACCTATCTTCACCTTGTGATGATCTTTTTGTTTCCTTTCCCAGTTTTTATACTCATTTATTTTTCTTGTCATTGCATTGGTTCGAGTGTAGTACTGTCAAGAAAAAGTTCAGTTGCAAATAGACTGGGGTTTGAACTCAGCCTTATGATTTCTAGGCAGGCACTCTACCACTTCCTTTTGTTTCTGAGTGAGAAGTTTTTTTTTTTTTTTTTAAATTTTGGTGCCAGTACTGGGGCTTGAACTCAGGCCTTTTTCGTTCAAAGTTGGAGCTCTACCTCTTGTCGTTTTTTTGTTGGTTAATTGGAGATAAGAGGCTTATGGGCTTTTCTGACTGAGCTGGCTTCCAGCCTCAATCCTTAGATCTCAGCCTCTAGAGCAGCTAGGAGGATTACAAGTGGGAACCACCAGTGCCCAGCTAAGAAGTTTCTTCTAATGTCAATAATTGATATTTTTCTTAAAATACTTAAAAAAAACCCTACGTTATACAGTACTGACATGATTGAATCTTTCTCCTCCCTCTCACCCTGTTAAAGAGTGAAAGAGTGACAATGATGGAATGTCCTGAAATGCCCGCCAGTGGCCAAGCAGCTGTACACTTGGAAACAATCTTTGCTTGAATATGATCTGGGTTAGGTGTGCTGATATTCTCCCCAATATTCACTGGAGAGATTCTTTTGTGTGTATGTCAGGTTTTAGAATCAGCATTATGCTTTTTCTTACAAAATACAGGACAAAACCTCATACCAATTGTAGCTTAAATTGTCTTACATTCAAAGGATTAGGGGACTTTTAAAAGTAATTTCTTAGGAAGGTGTGTGTGTGTGTGTGTGTGTGTGTAATTGAATCTTTGCATATCTGAAAATTTATTCTACTTGAAGTTGATTTAATTGGGAATTCTAAGTTAAAATTAATTTCCCTCAGTTTTTTCTTTTATGGTGTTAGGGATTGAACTCAGGGTGTCTCATGTGTTAGGCAAGTGGTGTTCTATTAGAGCTATATCTCAAAGGTTATAGTTTGAGATTCAAAGCATTATGTCTGACACCTAGTTTTTAGTGTTGCTGACATAATCTGATGCTAATACGGTTCTTGGTCCTTTATAGGAATAGTGACTATCTCATTTTGATGTGTCTGGAACACCTTAAATCCCACCCTTTGGTACCACCTCTTTCAACCCTGAGAATCATCCTTACTTGTTGATCAGTTGTAGAATCACTGTATTTGTAGATCACTTGCTATGTATATAATTGTGGAGGGCGGGGGGGCGGGGGGCTTCTGCGATACTCTTAGTTCTGCTCAAAGAATATAGCAGATGGTGTTGAGAGGCCAGTTATTTTTTCCCCGATTCATCTGTTTAGCTCTTAAATCTGAATACTACTGTTTTGTCAGCTTTGGGATATTTTACTGCAGAATGTTTCAGTAATTTGTTTCCAGTTCACTTTCTTTCTTTTAATGCCTTTGTGGAACTTCTTGTAGTGGAACTTGGGAGGAAGTCAAAGAATTTTGACTACTCTCTACATCTTTTTTTGCTTTTTCTTTCAAAAAAACTTTGATTCCCCCTATTGTCCTGCTTCAGCCTCCAGAGCAGCTGAAACTCCACACATTCGCTACTATATTGGTAGTAAAGTTCCTTTTATTCAGGGTCTTAAACTTGGTAGGCAGGCTCTCCAGTAGTTGAGTCCGCAATCCCACAGCTTCCTTTTCTGATACTTGTATTTGTTTTTAATTTCAGTTGCTATTAGTCATTCCCAAGAACTTTTTCTCCCTTTTTTCTTCTGTAGAGCATCTTAATCTTGGTTCATGATTAATAGCACTTCTCTCACAGAGAATATTAATTACATATACATACTTATGCCGGCCATTTCCTGGTTACCTATTTCCCTTGAAATATTGCTTCCTCTGTTCTTTTTGTTTTGATTTTTAGTTTTTCTTTGCATTTCTGGGGCTTGATCTAGGTCCTTGCACATGCTAGGTAAGCACTCTACCCAAGCCCTGTCTTTTTTTTTTCTTTCTTTCTTTTTTTTTTTTTTGCTGGTCATGGGGCTGAGCTGGGCCTGGGTGCTGTCCCTCAGCTCTTCAGCTCAAGGCTAGCACTCTACCACTGAGCTACCTTCCCAGCCCGTCTCTTTCTTTTATGAAGATGGTTTTCTCAAATTTGTGGTGATCTAGAGTGTTATCTTCTTTGTAGATTTATTTATTTATATTTATTTGTTATTGGAGATGAGTGTCACGGGGGACTTCTCTGCTCTGGCTGGCTCTAAACTGAGATCCTCAGATCTCTGCTTTCTGAGTAGCAATTACAGGTGTTGAGCCACTGGTGCCTGGCTCTCTATGTAGGTTTTTAATTCTGAAATGGGTTCCCTGTTTTGCAGTTTTTTTCTTATACTAATCAGTCAACATTGCCACTAGGTTAATCTCTATGAAATAGGGATTTTATCATTCTCAGACATGAAAATTGAAGGTCATTCCAGCCACCTGGATGCCGTTTCAGCCATAGAGCATTACATTTCATGTAACAAATTGTCTTGTCAGGTTTAATAGTGGACAAGGATCTTTTCTAGTGTACTGTGGTCTCTGTTAGAATGAAGAAGCATCAGGTCTGAGGTGGAGTAATTTAGCAAATATTTATTTATTTTTGGTTGGTTGTGGGGCTTGAACTCTGGGCTTGGGCGTTGTCCCTGCACTTTTCAGCTCAAGGCAAGCTCTCTACCGCTTGAGCCACAGCGCCACTTCCAAAGCAAATATTTATTGAAGAGACTCAACACTTGTTCTTATTTGAATATACTTGAATAGTCTTAGAACCTGTCACCTTAAACCATTTAATTAACAAAACAAAGTAGGCCAAAGTAAGTACACTTTTGGCAAACTTTAGGGATTTTCTAGGTCACAGGCATTAACATTTTTAGCTTTTGCCAACTGCTGCCAAATAGCCCCTAAGCTGGCTGTACTTAGCCAGAAGTACCAAGAACTGTCTGGTTCCAACATTTGCAGTTTTTATTTTTTAAAAAATCTGATGGGTGAAATAATGCTGCCTTCTGCATTTCCTTGATACCTAATGAGGCTATTTTCTTCACTTATTGGACATGGGGATTTTTTTCCTGTGAATTTTTGGTTAAAATGCAGAGCCAACATCTTTTTTTTTTTTTTTTAGAAATTCTGTTAACTATGGATTTGAATTGATTCCATATGGTGATAATATATGTGGAGGCTGTCATAGAAATTAGTAGGAGAAAGTGGGTGCTGGTGGTGGCTCATGGCTTGTCATCTTAACTATTGTAGGAGGCTGGAACTGAGGTTCATGGTTCAAAGCCATTTGTCCAGGCAGGAAAGTCCGTGAGACTCTTATCTTCAATTAAGCACCAAAAAAGCCAGAAGTAGAACTATGGCTCAAGTGATAAGAGTGCTATCCTTGAGCAAAAACTCAGGGACAGTGCTCAGGTCCTGAGTTCAAGCTCCAGGAACAGAACAAAACACTTAACTATGTGTAAATTAGCAAGAGAATTTATAAGAGGTTTTCTGTTGTGGATGAATAGATGAACTTGCCCAGAATCATAGCTAATAACAATTAGGGCAGGGATTTTGAACTTCTCTGTTTTGCTTTTTTCATTAGCATATATAAATTCTACTAGGTGGGCGTGGCACAGGGAGTCATTGTGACATTTCATGTACAAATGTGTTCTAGTCAATCTTATCCATCCTTCTCTTTACCTCCCCCCTCCTAAAATAAATTCAGTGTTTCATTGTTTTACTTTTTTTATACCTGAAAATGAATTAGTTTTATCAACATACATGGCTTTAATTCCTTTTTCTTTCCCTTGTATATTTGGCTGGTTTTCAAGGAATGAAGAAATTAATCAGTAACATGTAAAATTTTGTTTCTGAATACTAGTTTACTAGAATACTAGCTAGTAAGCTCTTATTTACTATGTGTGAATTTGGGTTGACATTAAAATATTTTTAATACTTTAATAAATGGTTAAATTGCGTTTGCCTTACAAGTGATTGAGGAAGTCATGTATAGATGTGTTTGTAAATAATATTACAGTGTATAATCTTACTGTTTATTATGACCATAATGAGTAAATAAACATGTGTATGTATGTACGTATGTATGTATGTATGTATGTATATATGTATGTATGTGGTGATTATTGGAGCTTGTGCTGTTCCTGAGCTTTTTTGCTCAAGGCTAGAGCTCTACCTCTTGAGCCATAGCTCCACTTCCGGGTTTTTTGGCTAATTGGAGATGAGTCTCATGGATTTTCCTGCCTGAGCTGGCTTCAAACCCAAATCCTCAGATCTCAGCCACCTGAGTAGCTAGGATTACTGGTGTGAGTCACTGGCGCCTAGTGAGTATACTATACTTTTTTAGAAATAAGGATTATATGCTTACATGCCATTTACTGATATGGTAATGGTGTTTTCAGGAAAATTTTACAGAATATTTTTTATAGAAAACTTGAGTTTTAGAAGTAAAATATCTTAAGGGAAAAGTTGATATTGGGACTTTGATTAGACTATGAATGATAACTTATTTTTATGTGTATTTTTTGACAGCTTTTGATGTTAAAGGAGCATACTGAGAAGGCACGAGTACCTCCCACCGTTGTCTGGTAAACATAGTTTTTTAATTATAAGGTTTTTTTGGGGGTGGGGAGGGGAGGTTCCAATCCTGGAGCTTGAACTCAAGGTTTAACTCTGTCCCTCAGTGCTTTGCTCTAACCTAGCTAGCACTTTATGCTTGAACCACATCTCAAGTTAGTTGGAGATAGGAGGCTCATGGGCTTTCCTGCGTGGGCTGGCTTTGAACCACAATCCTCAGATCTTAAACTTTTGAAAGGTAGGAATACAGGCAGCAGCCACTGAAGCCTACCTCTCTTATGAATTTTTAAAAACATTATTCATTAACTTTATTATAGAGGGGATTACAATTACATCAGTCAGGACCCTGGATATTAGGAAACATTAAAAATACATTAGACTAAAACCAATTAAGGCTAAACTGAGAAAGTATTAATTCCATACAAACTTACCGAACAATATATTTATTGTTTAAGCAGTGTTATCTTACCCCTTTCCCCACTTGTATTTACCAGGCAGGCACTCTTATTTCTGTGGCATACTTTCAAACACTTCCTTGTGCTGGTCACCTTTGAAAAAGGGTCAGTTGCTTGCCTTGTCCATGTTGTACATATTCTTCCCTTCATAGCGAGGACTATATGTATGTGCCATAGCTTCATAGCTAGGAGTACAGGTATATGCATAACAGTCAGGCGTCTATATTCAGAAAGGGTTTGTGAGGTTTTCTGCCTTGGCTGGCCTTGAACCTCAATTTTTCCAATTTAAGCTTCCCTAGTAGCTAAGGTTACAGGCATAAGTCACCAACACCTGGCTTCTACTTTCCTTTCCTCAGTAAGGACTTCCCTATTAAGTATCTGTACAAGGGAATAGAACTCTAGTTTCTTTATTTTACAGAGTTTACCATTGATTACATTGATTGCCATGTCAACATGTGATGATCATTTTGAATTTGTGTTTGTCTTACTGTATTCCAATTGGATACTTTAAAAGAAATTATAAATTCAAGGTTAGGAAACATCACTGGACCTTTTTGTTAGCCTGTAGAAGGGTTTTGTGTGGTAACTATAGTTCTTAGGGTCATACATGATTTATCACAATTCTATTTTGTCTTTATTGTGGCTTCTGAAATGATTTGGGGTATTTGAAATTTTGGAGCAAGAATTTAAGGATAAAGTGACCTGAAGAATTTTAGCATTATATCAGCTAAAGGTAAACTTACATAGGACAGTTACAGGGAACAGCACAAGGTGATAAAGTTAATAGGCAGTGGTTGAAGTTTATCAATATCATTGGTGAGATTTTATGGCCTGGTCAAGATTTCATAGCAGCTGGTGGCAAGGCTGAGACTGGTGTATGGTGTGCATATGTATTTAAAATCCCCTTTTCTAGTAAGCAACAGGGCCTTGCACATACTAGGCAAGTGCTCTGCTACTGAGTGCTACACTTGTAGCATCCTGTTATTTAAAGGAACGTATTTTTAGTCTTAAGGAGAAAGGCTGCAGAGCGGCCAAAGGAGAGTCAAATCCTTTCTGAGCCTCAAAGGTTTACTTGATAGGAGGTAACTGCTGTTGACATCAATATGGAACCTGCATTTTTCAGACAGAACAATTTTCCTGAATCTTAATAATGACTTGTAAGGTTTTGAGACTTAAGGAGGGATACATTTTTGCCTCCTAACCTGGCCAATCCAGTAGAATTAAAAAATTATGCCATCTTGATGTGCCTGTTTCCATTTGCAGACATATTTCAATCCTACTTATCTAATGTTAAAATTGACTGTATCTACTCTGCTCCTGTTATAAAGGCCCAATCCACTTTCTTCAGTGTGTACTGGATCTGTTTAACCTAGAATGTATAAATCTGTATTGTCCTGAATGAAACTGTCTTAAAAGTGCACCACTGGCCCAGCACTTTGGACACTGTATGTGTTTCTATAATCAAGCAGTTCTTTGGACATCAGCTGGTTACAGTTTAGTTTAACTCTGACAGCAGCTATGAAGTTAGTGCAGATCCCACAGGGGCAGGGCCTAGACCTTGCTGATGCCAAGTAGTACCGTACTGCTGTGTGGCATGGCTGCCTTTGGGAAATTTTCTATAACTCTCCAGGTTTGACACTGTTTTATGGTGAATCCAGGGTAACACTTGATTTGCTGTTGCTAGCTCATTGTAGAGGATATTAGAATTCAAATACAAGAGGTACACATACTGAGATCTAGAATGGTCTTGAGCAGACCCACAGGGAGCTAATGTCCCTGTGGATTTGTGGTACAATCATGCTTTGGCACCTTGCTTAGGGTTTATCAATGGCCATTGATGATTATTAGCTCAATCTACATCTGCCCTCCCTGCCACATTAATCAGATGATAGGATTGAAAATTCCAGTTTTCTAATCATATACCAGTTCCTTTGACAAGCAGCCCCTATTTACCCCAAATCACTTCATTAATAAAATGTATGGTTTGATAAAAAAGATATGCACAGAAAGTCCTTCCCCTTCACAGAAATTCTGGGGATTTTAGAAGTGTTTCAACTGAACAAATTTGACGTCTAGTATGTTATAGTATGGCCTCTTAGTTTTCCTGACTATTTATGATAGCTGCTTTGATGGCTATTAAATCTTAACAACTGAGCCATGTCAGGGACAGGTTCTGTTGCCTACTTTTTTTTTCCTTTATGTTTCTGTCATGCTGCTGTTTCTTCACATGACTCATAATTTGAGTTATGATCTGTACATGCTAGACCATGTAGCAATGTCTTCCTTTGCTACCTGCTTGCTTTTTTGTTGAGTGACTTGGCTGGGGTCTTTCATTGAGCATTATTTCCTTGGCACAGTGTTCTCTGCTATTGTTCTTCAGGGGGCACATCCCTGGGCACACACACTGGTGCTCTGAACTGCCCTCCTTAAGGAGAGACGTGTTCAGCAGAGCCGAGCTTTATTGAGTTACTTTTCACTTAATTACTTTCTAGGTGATTGCTTTATTGTTTTGGACATAGCTCTGGACCATGAATTGCTCCACAGTTTGATTTAACTAAAATATTTGCTTTTCAGTGGAGGTTGTGCCAGAGTCCAGCTTTATAGGTTGGTTCTGAATCTACAAGGGTTCTTAGTCACCTCTTTCCTTATTGCTGTTAAACTCTGCTTCTTTAATTTGGTAATATGGCTCTAGCCTCATCTCAATTGCTCACCAATACACTCTTTGTAGTTTCTGAAAGTGTTTTGAGAGGCATGAAGTTCTCCATTCTGTGTTCCAAATAAGCTCAGTCTCAGGAATTGCTAAGGAGTTCTCTTCTTATTTTATTGGCCTGCTTCTCTAGCTGTGGAAGACCCTCTGTTTTCCTTGCAGTTAGGTCTCTGCTTTACAAGGGCCGTGCTAAGCCATGGGTATGGCTGCTGGCCTTCATGGGGGCTTTTCTATGTGCATAGAGCCTCTACCTGAAAAGTGAGCTGGGGAAGCCAGGCACTGGTAGCTCATGTCTGTAAACCTAGATGCTCAGTAGTCAAGAGATCTGAGGCTTTAAAGTTTGAAGTCAGTCTCAGCAAACAAATTCCTCCAGAATCTTATCAGCAAAACATTGGAACTAGACGCGTGACACAAGTAGTAAATTGCCAACTGTGAACAAAAAAGTCATGCCACAGTGTGAGGCCCACAGTTCAAGCCCCAGTACTGATAACCACAAAACTATAAAAAACGTGACTGAAGCAAAGGGAGTCTGTGTCCATGAATTTGACCGGCTGCCATGGGGGTAGAGTTCTTGCCTTATAAATGGAAACTGGAAAGAAGGGATTTTTGCAATCTCTTGCAACATGGAGCTGAAGGGTAGGAGATGAAAAATGCCAACTGCCTGCTCCATCTGGGGACAGAAGCGTAGTTGTGGATTTGGGGCTGGGCAGGGCGCAGCCTGCTTCAGTCTGTTTCTTAAACAATGCTGTTACTACTCTGATGCCACTCAATGGTTACCTCTGCTTGGAACATTCTTCTTTCAAGTAGGAAGGGAGCACATGTTTTCCCTTAAGTCTCTTTTGGTATATATTAACTTTTTAGAGAGGCTCTCCCCAACTACCCATATAATATATTGAACTTTGCCTCTTTCACCCCATAACCTTCTTCAACTTACTACCAGGCCTAGAGGGAAGGTGTGCCTTCCACAAGAGCAGAGATTTAAGCTGCTTTATTCCAGCACTTAGAGCTGTATCCAACATGGTAAAGCTTCAGTAAATCTGATGAATGCCAAATACATACTACAGTAAACTGTAGTTTACTGCCTCTTGCCTCCCAGTTGTACTTGTCTAAATAGACAAATTGAAAAATAAGTTCTGTGTTTGTCAACTACAGTTACTTGATGCTGTCCAGAGGGAAAATGGCACTCATTAGGAAAGAACGCAGCTTTCTAGTGCTCTACCATTTAAGCCACAGTGCCACTTCCAGCTTTTTCTGTTTACATGGTACTGAGGAATCGAACCCCGGGCTTCATGCATGCTAGTTAAGCACTCTATCACTAAGCCACATTCACAGACCCCAAAGAATGCAGCTTTAACTGAGTAGTGGCTGCTGCCGCCAGAGCCTTCATGTAGAAGGCTTAGAGCAGAATACTGAAGTCAAGGAAATGTGGTCTCTTACTTATTTTCTTCTCTCTCTGGCTTGCTTCTTCAGAAGTGCTCTGTGGATATATAAGGTAACATGGAAAGGCCTCCTGTTGATAGTATGTGGTGGTATCTTCTCTGTGGAATTCTGTTGTAAATGGTGACATGGTACAACTGTGTCTCCTAAAAATAATAGGACATTGCAGGGGTCTAGTGTACTAACTCATCTGATTGAAAGAGAAACAACAAAAACAACCAAAATATCCACAAAAATTAATGTGTCTAAAATGAAGAAATTTTCTTAAAGTGATTTTTAATTAATGTCTATCTCTTTTTTTCTAGATTCTTGCTGCAGTCTGTTCTGTTCTCTGAACACTGATGAATAACCACGCATCTTCAACACCATCTACCATGAAGTTAAAACAGACCATCAACCCCATTCTTTTATTTTTCATACACTTAATAATATCATTTTACACACTTCTAACATACATTCCGTTTTATTTCTTATTTGACTCAAGACAAGAGAAATCAGACCAAATTAAAGCAAAGCCTGTGAATACGAAGCCTGACTCAGCATACAGATCTGTTCATAGTGTGAATCATTTGGCTTCAATATTGTACCCCGGCTGTGATACACTAGATAAAATTTTTATGTATGCAAAAAACAAATTTAAAGACAAAAGACTTTTGGGAACACGTGAACTTTTAAATGAAGAAGATGAAGTACAACCAAATGGAAAAATCTTTAAAAAGGTAAGATGATCTGTTTTTGGTCAGTCATGGGCTCGAGCTCTGGGCTGGTAAGATGATCTTTTATTACCTTCTCTGCCCACGGTGTATAGTGCATTTAGAAATGGCGGCAGCTGCTCCTGCTGGAGTCCTCTGCTATTGTAGGGGAAGGGGCTAGACTGTGCCTCTTTTGATGTCTATACGTTAGCACTGATACGCCCTGAATTTTCTGGAAAACAGTCCAGGTCTTGGTCTGTGACCTGCTGTGTCTGATGATTTTCATGGGGCTTGCAGTGAGTGCTTGATATGTGCCATTTATGTAGTTTTAAGCTTTCTTTTTAACTACTATAGAGGACCTTGCCATTGTTGATTTGAAATTGAGACATGCATGACCAGAGCCAGGCATGCTTGTCTGTAATTTAGAGTGCTGTAATTCCAGCACTCTAAAAAGAGTCTGAAGTAGGAGGATCACAGATTGGGACCAGTCTCTGGGTTACATGGTCTTTAAAAAAAAAAAAAAAGCTAGGTAATAAGTTTAAAACTTTTGAAGGCAAAGCCATTTTTCTTTTAACCAGTTCTAGAAACATCTTGACTCCTTGAGTCTTGCTTTTCTGCTAGTCATGAGCAATGCACAGCTCACAGGAAGAGAACACAAATAATCACAACTTTAATGAAATGAACTTCATTTTCTGGCAATGAGAAAGCCATGGGGCATATTACCTAACTAACTTCTAGTAGCCCATTAATTTTACCATTTACCTTAATAAATTTCACGTCATTTTCTTCTAGACATAAAAGGAGATGGCAAAAAAAGTAGATGTCAGTAATTCCTTTCAGCTAAAAACATGTAATTCATCAACCTAGTTTACTTTTACTTTACATTTTGTCTTTTGGAACAGTCTGTAAACATACCTTCCTCATAGCTTCAGATTTGGATGAAGTTACATAGTTTACTATGCTTTAAAAAATTAAAGTTATCTTTAAGTAGTTGTACGAAGGAGTTGCCATTCAACAAAGCAGCTTATAAATAAAATTTACCTTTATCACTGTCCCCTCCATCATTCTCACCCCCTTGGACTTACTCTTCCCTTTTTCTTAATTCTGTCGTATGTACAATGAGTTCTTGTTTGTATGGTTACTTTGCTTTTGTTTTGTTTTGGTTTTTTTTTTTTTTTGGGTCCATTCGTGGGACCTGAACTCTGGGCCTGGGCGCTGTCCCTCAGCTCTTCAGCTCAAGGCTAGCGCTCTACCACTTGAGCCACAGCGCCACTTCCGGCTTTTTTCTCTTTTGCTTATGTGGTGCTGAGGAATCGAACCCAGGGCCTCAGACATGCAAGGCAAGCACTTTACCACTGAGCCACCTTCCCAACCCTGGTTACTTTGCTTTTAACTGTATTTTTTCTTTTTATCTTTATTTTTTGGTACTGGGGATCGAACCAAGGATGTTGCACTTGCTAGGCAAGCACTTTCCCGCTGAGCTATATCCCAGCCATTACTTTACTTTTAAAAGACATATTTTTCTATTTCTTTCAATAACTTTTTTTTTTCTTCATTAACTTTAGAGTAACTTGGAGTTAGCAGCATGTTTTTCTCCCAAGACTGGCACTCTATGACTTGAGCCATACCTCCGATTTTGACTTTTTTCTGGTTAATTGGAAATCAGAGGCTTACAGACTTTTCCTGCCTGGGCTAGCTTCGAACCACAGTCCTCAGATCTCAGCCTCTTTTGAGTAGCTAGGATTACAGACATGAGCCACCAGCACCTGGATCAAAACCAGTCTTTAAAAATGAAGCTGTAAACTGGATGCTGATTACTCATGCCTGTAATCCTAGCTACTCAGGGAGGCTGATATCTGAGGATTGCAGTTTGAAGCCAACCAGGGCTTTTCTGCCCCGGTTGGATAACCACTCAGAAACCTGGAGCTGTGGCAGGGACAGTGCCCAGGCACTGAGTTCAAGTTCCACAGCTGACTAAAAAAGATGAGGATGAGAAGATTTCCTCAGACTTCCAATTCATAATGAGTTGAAATTGTGCTTAAGTACCTATCTTTGCCACACACTTAGTAAATTGCAGAGTTCCTCTTAACAGTAATGAACAAAACACCGGTTGGTTTTCTTGTGTATGTCTTAATGTATGCTGAGAGGAAGAGAAGCAGTATGTTGATGAAGCTGCTGAGAAAAAAAATGCACCTGGTTGATAAAGAAGGCTTGCAAAATAATGTTATGGTTAGACTGAGACCTGAACTGAAGGAATCAACATTTTAGAGCTGGCACTGGGATGGAGTACAGTATAGTAGATGTTTGAGACAGAAATAATCTCTTGGGGGTGACACTGTTCAAAAGGAAATGTACTCATTACCTGACTTACGCAACCACAACCCTTCTGTACATCACCTTTACAATAAAATTTTAAAAATTAAAGAAATAGAAAAGCCTTTGTTGAATGAGGTTCTTAGGCCACACAAGTTAATAAGGCAGACCCAGAGATAGGACTTTCTTCCCTTGCCTTGCTCCAGCACAGCCTGCCTGAAGGCCAGAAGGATGAGGTTACCCTTTCAGGAAGTGAGCAGGGTGAGAGAGTAGAGCTTTGGTCTTGGGGCTTGCTGGAACAGGGTAAGGGTTTTGGACTCTGTTGGAAGAGCAAGCCCTCCATACAGAATGCTAAGCAGGGTAGTGACCTCTTTTATGTGAGTTGTAGGGGGAGAGGAGTGTAAGCAGTTTGCTCAGTTGGTGTGAAATAAGAACAGAGATGAATTATTGAATGCCAGGAATGGATGGAATGGTGGAAAGAAATGGCTAGATTTAGGGTCTATTTTGTGAATAGGGTGGACAGGCCCTATTGATGGACTTGGGAATGTGTTGGGGAATAATTCCTAAACTTTATGGAACACTTGGAGTGGGGGGTGGTGAGAGGTGGCATACTATTCTCTGCAACTCTAGGAAGGATACAGAGAAAGAGAAAAGGAGAAAGAATGAGCTTTGGCACTTGCTACATTTGATGTGTCCATTGGACCATCTCCATTGAACATTCAATTAAATCATTGGATATCTAATTTGGGACTGTCAAAATTGAAGATGGAAATTTGGGAAACTCTTTGAGGCAAAATCCTTGAGAGTCTGGTGTTTGTCAGGAACATTCAACCATGTGGTCTCGAAGTGCAGTGATCGCTCACCTACTGTGGGAATTACATTCCAGAGGGGCCCCCCCCCATAAATGAAAATCTGAGAAGTAGCAGTGTTAAATGTTATCATTTATAGGTTTTAAGACTTTATGAGCCCCACTGTTCTATAAGCCTTATAAGCTTTTCGCACTCTTTTACTAACCTTTCCCACACTCTTATAAACACTTCCTGTGCTCTTTTTACACTCTCGAGCTTTAACAACTTAGAAAATTCTATCTGGCTACTCACCACTGAAGTACACACAACTTGAATGATGAAGATCATGAATCATGTAGCTGTGCAGCAGTGATGGCAATGAAGGTACTGCACAGCCTCCACTTCCTCATCAGATGCATCATCAGGTGGTGCAGTATCTTCCCCCTGGGCCATAACTTCTGTTTCTGATAGGTGTAACTGATCTCTTCATCTGAGTGATTAACCTAGTTACCGGAGTTGTTGGTGCAGCTTTTTCTTCTGAGCTTTTATAAACTGACACGCCACTCGATTGTATTTATGAAGTGCAACAAATGAAGCACCTGGGGGACCCAGTGTTAGGCCAAAGGCCAACTTCCTCCTCCTCTTCAACCTGTAGTTTGTTTTGTTCCTCATCCTTTTCCTCATTTGCTGACTTTGTCATCTCGATCAGGTGTTTATCCATCAATGGTTGTGAATGGACATCAGTTAGGTCATTCATGTTGTCAGGAGTCATATCATTGAAACCCATCTCCTCCCAGTAGTTTTGCCAGCTTCACAGCCTTACTACTGTAGAGTGATGGACTCAGGAGAGAATTCCTTTTAATTGTGGACCATTTCTAACTACAAATTTTTCCAGCCTCCATTTATTGTTTCACTCTTCATCTCCTTTATAGCCTTCTGAATATTTAGGAGACAGATACAATATTGTAATCACTCCCAGTATGTTTTAGTGAGAAGTTTTCATCCAAATCCATAGCTTCAACCAGGTTTTGTGCCCTCCTCCCCCTCCCCCTGACCCAGTCCTGGGGCTTGAACTCTGGGCCTGGGCACTGTCCTTGAGCTTTTTTGTTCAAGGCTAGCATTCTGTCACATTGAGCCACAGCACCACTTACAGCTTTTTTGGTTATGTGGTACTGGGGATTGAACCCAGGGCTTCATGCATGCTAGACAAGCACTCTACTACTAAGCCACATTCCCAGCCCTTCAACCAGGTTTTGCAGGATGTTTTGCACGTAGACTGCCTTAAAAGTGTGAATAGTGCCTTGAATCATGGGCGGAATGAGCAACGTGGTGTTTAGTGGCAAGAGCTTTATCTGGACGCCTTTATAGGACAGATTGACAGCATGGCCGCCAGCACTGTCTATGATCAGAAGCACTTTGAACCTATGGGATAAAGCACTGGTGGAACCAATCACCCCTGAGGAGTTTCATGGTTCAGGCCTTGGGGTTGTGCATCCAGTACTTAGGCAACACATTCTTATTTTTGTTTTTTAGGGCCTTTGGGTTTTTCACTTATAAAATAAGCCCTGGTTTTATCATAAAGCTCACAGCATTCCCATACTCAGTTATTTGATCTTTTGGAGCCTTAAAACCAGGGGCTTTTACTTCATCTTTCATAATAAAAATATGAGACAGCATCTGCCCCCTTCTTGATGGATTTGAATTTATCGTTCACGTACTCCTGGGCTCCAGCTTTATCCACAGAGGCAGCTTCTCTGTGTAGAGCAATGCTGGCACTGAGTGGGGTTGGTCTGATGGGAGAGAGAAGTGCTTGATAGTCCTGCTTCTGTGTCATGGTCCTTGTTTTCATCCTTAGCACCATCTGTGAACTTCCATGCTTTCCACAAAGTTTCTTGGTCTTTGTCCAGATGGTGTTGGTATCCAGTGAGAAAATTTTTTTCTACAGTCATTTATCTGTAGGGCCAGTGCAGATTCCATCCTTGCAATGGCCTTTTTGCGGGAAATGACCATCCTCTTTTGCAGTCTTGTTAAAAAAAAGTCATCATTGCCATAGATCTAATATTCTGCTCCTCTTTCTTTATGTAGCAAATAGTAGATTCGTTGATTCTGTAGTGGTGGCCTACAGCCATGTAGCTTTTTGTTGAAAAGTTCCACCTTTTCTTTGATGGTGAGCATCTTCCTCTGGTGCTTGGGTTCACTTCCAGAAGCCTTAGAAGGTGCAGAACATTTGGGGGGCATCGTAGGACTTGAAGTAAATTCAAACTTATGAAAACTTGACAAAAACACAGCACTGCAGAGCATTTCATTGGGGTTACAGAGCAAGGTGAGAGTTTGGGATTAGCACAGTTTCTGTTTTCTTAATTCAGGTCCTTTATCCATCTAACTAAGAATTGATTGCTTGGCTTGTCTGTACTGTGGTTTGAGCTCAGGTGTCAGTGCTCTTCGGCTTGGGCTAGGTCTCTTACCTCTAGCCCTTTTTGCTCAGTTTCATGTTGAGAGATAAAGTCTTGCTTTTTCCTGGACAGTGTTGTTGTTTTACACTTTTCACTAGTCTGGATGACAAGTGTGCCCACCAGGCCCAGCTTTCCTCTGCTGAGATAGTCTTGTGAACTTTTTTGCTGAATTGGCCTGAAACTGATGTGTGAAACTGAGTAAGGTGTAGTAAGTAGGATGACAGGTGTGTACCTCAGTATTCTTTGAAATGGGGTATCACAAATGTGCCTGGGTTCCTGTGGATGGCCATCCTCCTGGTATCTACCTTCTAAGTGGCTTGATATTCACTCATTGAGCCAAGTTAGAATTTTTTTCCCCTAACACTAGATATTGGTGGCTCATGCCTATAATCTTAGCTATTTGAAGCTAGCCGGGCCAGCAAAAAGCTGGAAGTGGAGATGTGGCTGAAGTGGTAGGTTCAGCCTTGAGCAAAGAAGCTGAGGGACAGCACCAGATTCAAGCTCCGATGTCAAGCACCAAAAAATTCTTAAATCTCATTCAGTGGGACACTAGAGGGCAGCATGATTATTTTTCATTTTTTTCTTTCCCTAGCATCTTCTAGAAATCTCATGGATATTGTTTACATTTTAAAAAATTAATAGTCAGAAATTTTATGCAATTATATATTACTTTATTTGCCCATTTGCATGGTCTGGAAATTACCTTTGAGCCCAGACTAGCCTTAGACTCAGGATTCTCATACCTCACCCTCCCTGGTGGTGGGATTATAAGTGTGTATCAGAATATCTAAAATTACTTTCCAAGCGTTTGAGATGTATACTAACAACATAACTGCACACACACACCGTGCATACAGTCTGTTCTTTATTCTCTCTTTTTCTTTTGGTACCAGTCCTGGGGCTTGAACTCAGGGACTGAGCTTTTGTATTCAAGATTAGTGTTTTACCACGAGCCACAGCTGTTTGGTGGTTAATTGGAGGTAAGAATCACATCTCACTGACTTTCTGGGCTGCACTAGCTTTTAATGGCAATCCTCATATCTCAGCCTCCTGATTAGTTAGGATTACAGGTGTGAGCCACAGGTGATTGGCCTGTCTTGTTCTTATATGTACAATTGTGGTACCACTTAAGTTGAAGAAAATTTCTAAAGACAAAAATAGATTAAGCAACTTTAAAAGGAGAGTGTTACTAAGGCAAGCTTGAATTTCTGATAAACACAAAAAATAATCAGGCTGGGGATACCAGTGGGTATTAAAGTTAAACAAAAGGACTTTGAATTATATAACATAGTCCTCACATGTTTGCATAGAGACATATTTATTTTCCTTATTCAGATACAGATACAGCAGTTCAAATTGGAATTTCTGTGAGCTTGAGTAGCAGGGCCAGTTTCTGCTTAATGGATCATATTGTGCTATTTGGTATTGAAATCCAGAAATTAAGTAAAGGGAAGTGAAATTTTGACATCAGAATTACTTAGTTACTAGTTTGTTTTAAATGAACACCTGTGTCATTTGAGTAAATAATTTATACATGAATTATTAGTATATGCCTGTTAGGAAATAGAATTTTTTGTTGATCGTGGGGGTTGAACTCAGGGCTTGGGTGACCTGTTCCTGAGCTCTTTGCCTAAGGCTTGTGCTTTACCACTTTGAGCCACAGCTCCTTCCAGTTTTACTGCCCAGGCTGGCTTTGAACCCCGATTCTCAGATCTGCTGACTAGCTAGGATTACAGAGTAGCTAGGGTTACAAGTGTATACCATGGGAACTCAGCAGAAATTGGATTTGTTGTTTCATCTTTCCTCCTGCTCTTATTTTCCCTCCCCGTTTCTTTGCTCTTCCTCCCATTATCTCTTCAACATCTCTTGATATGTAGCCCTGAATGGCCACAAACTCCCAGTGCTGTCCCAGTATGCTGAGTGCTGTAGACTTTAGACATGCGTCACCATACTAAGCCAAAATCTGAACATTGTTGAAAATCAAAACCAAGGCCAAAACCTTCTGTTGCAAAGATTTAGCATAGGATTCTAGTTGTCATAATAGAAGATACCACAAAGCCAAATCTCATTTTCTAGCATTAATTGGGAAAAACAGCTTTCTGTTTGTTAGAAATTTTTGGAACATATTCTGATTTATTTCTATAAGTTAATACTTTGTATTAAAAGGTATTTAGTTTTTCTTTTGTTTTTATCAGGTTATTCTTGGACACTATAATTGGCTCTCCTATGAAGACGTCTTCGTTCGAGCCTTTAATTTTGGCAATGGCTTACAGATGTTGGGACAGAAACCGAAGACCAACATTGCCATTTTCTGTGAGACCAGGGCGGAGTGGATGATTGCTGCACAGGCCTGTTTCATGTATAACTTCCAGCGTATGTGGGCTTTCCTGTCTTTTGAAAGAGTGAATTTGTCATTTGGGGAGTGAAATAACATTCACTCATAAGATGTTAACATAATGATGTTAATTTTCACCTTGAATCCAGTTAGTGAAGGACTAATTGTTAGGCATTGGAATTATTTTACTCTGTTTTGGAAGAAAAATCAGTTGTGGAGTGTATGAACCAGTCAAATGTGGTGCAGTGTCTTGAACCTTTGTATCTAGAGAACTAGATGCTCAATTACCATCTCTCCTGTTCCCTTGTGAAGTTACTGGTGGTTGTGCTAATACATTTTTGTTAGTAATAAGATTGGACCTCTAAAATTGGAATCTGATGATGCTCTAGTTACAGGAGAGGCCCAACTCTGTGTTGGGGCATTTGAGTGGTAATTGGAATGCCTCAGGCTTTGAAGCTTAAGTCTTGGTGCCAAAATATCACTGTAATCTTGGAGATGTCTTATCTTTCAAGTGAATCAAGAAGTTTTCCACAGATGTCTTGGAAACTCTTCCACTTAAAACAGGCTTTGCCTTTTTGTTTACAGAGGTTGGAGTTTGCCTTACATTTCAAAGAAGTACTCTTTTCACAATCATTCTATGTTAGAAAAATAAATACAAATCCACGTTACTGTTTATATTATCTTACCATTTCTAAGGATGTTTTTGTTTAGATCTTTTTTAAACTAGAATAATCAGTGCTAACATTTTTTTATATTCAGTGTATCATTTTAATTCTATGTACTACTAATACCAAGTAGCCAATGATTAAGATATTTAAAAGTCAGTACATAAGAGGTTACTTGGTATTTTTATTTTACAGTTTGTGAAGCATTAGAGTAAGTGATGTGTGCTTCTTTTCCTTGTAGTTGTCACATTATATGCTACCCTGGGAGGTCCAGCCATTGTTCATGGACTAAATGAAACAGAAGTGACCAATATCATTACAAGTAAAGAACTTTTACAAACAAAGTTGAAGGTGAGATCTGCAGTTGTTTGTAACTGCCTGAAACTTTAGGACTTCTTACTGTAACGAGTCTTATTAATGATCCTCAGTTCTGTTATGATACACTAAGTCTTTAATATTTTACAAGCTTTTAGGTATATGATACTTGATTCTTTGGAACACAAAAAGTTACTTTCATATGTTTTTGCATTCAAATAACCCAGATGTACAGATAGTTAATGCATGTGTCTAAATTGAACTGGCTACAACTTTATTTTTTTTTTGTCGGTCACGGGGCCTGAACTCTGGGCCTAGGTGCTGTCCCTCAGCTCTTGAGCTCAAGGTTAGTACTCTACCACTTGAGCCACAGTATCACTTCCAGTTTTCTGATGGCTAATTGGAGATAAGAGTCTCATGGAACTGGCTTTGAGCCATAATCCTCGGATTTCAGCCTCCTGAGTAGCTAGGATAATAGGTGTGAGTCACTGGTGCCTGGCAGGGAAAACCGTTTCTTTAGTTTCCTGATGTCTTCCTCTAGCCCAATAATATCTTTTTCTTCATTTTGTTGACAACAAGTGAGTTCTCTTTCTCCATACATCCTTAACCTTGAAACACGAGGGACTTTGGGCTATATGGTTCAATTTGCCTATGCTTAGAAAATTTTTTTTTATTGTGAAAATACCGTACAGAGGGGTTACAATTACATGGGCAAGATAACTATGCTTAGAATTTGTAGGACAGTAATTAACTTGTGATTATGATTTTATTGGAAAAAGGTGGTTTACCCAGCAAATAAAATTCTATATAATAATAGTAAGTTAGATACAGTAAGTTAAGGTTTGGGAAGTTGGTTCAGTGGTAGAGCACTTGCCTTGCATGCCTGAGGCCCTGGGTTTGATTCCTCAGCACCACATAAGCAAAAAGAAAAAAGCCAGAAGTGGCGCTGTAGCTCAAGTGGTAGAGTGCTAGCCTTGAGCTGAAGAGCTGAGGGACAGAGCCCAGGCCCCACAACCGGACCCCCCCAAAAAATTTATGTATATATAGTAAGTTAAATAAAATAGTTAAGTGGTGTAAAGTAATAAAGTTAAACTCAGTCCTCTTGTTTTGTTGAGGTAAGAGATTAATAAGGCAGTGAATGTGGTGAACTCCCATTCTTGGCTCCTGAACGGTTTGCTCACCCATGGAATAAGAAACATAACAAATGCTTTGTTCTTCCAGGATATAGTTTCATTGGTCCCCCGCCTACGGCACATTATCACCGTTGATGGGAAGCCACCAACTTGGTCCGAGTTCCCCAAAGGTGTCATTGTACATACCATGGCTGCAGTGCAGGCCCTGGGCGCAAAGGCCAGCACGGGTATGTCACGTGCTCTTCATTCTTGTGGGTATTCTCATATCACCATGATCGCCAGAACTATGCCAAGGATGAGCTCTGAAGTTAGATCAAAGGATTGGCACAGTGATTTTCTAGATATTCAGGTGGAAGCAAGTTCTAGGAGTACTAGAGTTTAAAGAAAGGCTTCAGGAAAAATACATTAATGTTCTAACGGTAGCGTGAATTTGAAATTAAGAGAGTTTTACACTGTTCACTTCTCTCTTACCCTTTTCTGATAGTTTTAGGGAGTTAAAAGTTTTATAAGTAATGGCATTAGATTTACCCCTGTGAACTATTCTATTAACTGATAGGGCAGCTAACTTTCCCTCCTTTTTCTATTTGCCCTTCCAGAAAGGAGGACTACTTTTTGTTTCTGTTGTTGGTCACGGGGCTGAAACTCAGAACTGAGGCGCTGAGTTCTTTTGCTTAAGGCTAGCACTCTACCATTTTTGAGCTACAGCTCCACTTGTGGTTTACTGGTGGTTAATTGGAGATAAAGGATCTCACAGACTTTACTGCTGGGCTGGCTTTGAACTGATATCCTTCCATCTCAGCCTTTTAGTAGCTAGGGTTACAGGTGTGAGCCACCAATACCCAGCAAGGAACAATCTTTTAACTTCCAACTACTCTATCTAGGCATGGTACTGTAGAAGTTATGTGACTGTCAAGTGTTAGGAAGTACTGCTAGAGTATTTTTGAGTTTTTTAGGATATTGCAAAAGCTTAGAGCTAGATACTTTGTCCTCTCAGGGCCCAGTTGTACCACTGTTAGTGATATACTGCAATGGTGTTCATTTTGAGCATGTTGAATTTCAGATGCTGGTGGGAAATGCAAATGTTGATATCTAGTCAGCATTGGCATGTACACATTCACTCCTGAGTTAAGTTTGGTTTAAGAGGTTTAGATGCTAGAGGAAGCTAGGTATTCAAGATAGCTGTGGGAGGAAGTAAGTTGCCCACAGAGAATGATGGTGCCTGTGGCTGTTGAGGACTAGGCTTAGAGAAAGGAAGAAGCCATGTATGGTTCTTTTTTAAGACATCTTACCTGGATGGATAGGAAAGGAAGGGCTTATTCTCCTAGGAACACATTTAAAGATTTTTTTTTTCTTAGAAGTTCACGAGTATGGTAGTTCTAAACTTAAATCCTCCAGATGATTTATGTGTGTTATCCATTTCTTTTGGTCTGCTGCTGATCTTATCTTAGACTCATAGTCTTGTGACTGCCAGCGGGAGACACTGTTTTGTAATCCTGAACCCTCAAGTGTAATGTGGAAGTTGTCTGTCAGCACATTCCTGGGTACCCTCATCTAAGGCCTTTTTATTTCTTAGTGGAATTGGTAGAATAGCCTTTGTTTTCCTGGAAAATAGAATTTATGTTCCTATTTCCTAACTACCACGTGAATATTTTGTTGAGCTTGATTAAAAAATGATTGGTAACATGATTAAATTCCTCAGAAGTGGACATTTGTTCTTTTCTTCAATACAGAAACCAAGCCTCATAGCAAACCATTGCCATCAGACATTGCAGTCATCATGTACACGAGTGGGTCCACAGGAATCCCAAAGGGCGTCATGATCTCCCACAGCAACATCATTGCTGGTATAACTGGGATGGCGAGGAGGATTCCCAAACTGGGGTATGTCGTCGTAAAGGGATGCGGGACCTTGGTGTTAATCTCTGCACATCTGGTTTCACTGTAGTGTCATTTTAGTAGTATATACTTAACTTACTCAGAGTCTGTGTATAGTAGACATTTTCTAAGAACAGTAAGGTTAAATACAAAATAATTATATCTGTGAGATTTACAAGAGCATTTATAGGTACTGGTTTCATTAAGTTTTTAAAAGTGCAAATTTTTATTTGGGAATCCTTTAACCATTTGGTATTGTTGCCTTATGTATAGAATCATGTTTAAATCAAAATATAGTTCAGGTGAACAGGTAGCACGATATATTCAGTTTTGGATTTAGATTTTTGAGACAGATTCCAGTGGGAGAAGACCGGGGAGGCTGTTAGAGTAGGAAGATACAGGTGGGATTTGAGGGATTGGAAAGGGAGCATTCCCAGGGTGGGATCAGTATTGTTATGACTGACTTGGTGTAGTAAGAAGAAATTACACAGGCACATACAGTGAATTATTACATTGAACTTAGGAATGCATTGAGAAAATTCTTGTATGCATGTACGTAAGGGGGGGAAAAAACTCTTAAGATAGAATTTGTTATGAGCAGGACATCTCTTCTATATTCAGAGACCATCTATTTGATGATTTCTTTTGTTCACTTACCCATCCCCTCTTTGGCCCTAGCACCTTACTTTTGCAGTGTTTATCTGAAAACAGACCACTTCCCTTCAGTTTCAGGTTGAGCTGTAGCCCTTTATTCCTGACACTCCCAGTTCCCCGTCTGTCTTCCCTGCCTCCCCTCGCTCAACCCACAATGGGAAGCCCAAATTGATGCCCTGAGGGCTTTTGTACCTTCAAACCTGCTCCTGTTCAGTCACTTCTGGAAGAGGGCACTCCTCACTTTTGCTTCTCGCCTGTCTTTGCAGAGAGGACGATGTATATATTGGGTACCTGCCCCTGGCCCATGTTCTAGAACTCAGTGCAGAGCTGGTTTGTCTTTCTCATGGATGCCGCATTGGGTACTCTTCACCACAGACGTTAGCAGATCAGGTAAGTTAAATGTCAGTGACTTGAAATACAAAAAAAAAATTAGTATCCCCCGCACCCCTTCCCAGTCAGTATGACAGTTAAGCTCTTGCCTTTTGTTTGTTAGATTATAACTAATTAAAAAGACATGCTTATTTGATGTAAGAATTCCATTTTGCTTAATAAATACAGATCATATTATATAGGTCACTTTTTCTATTTTATAGTCTTCAAAAATAAAAAAAGGAAGCAAAGGGGATACATCCATGTTGAAACCAACCCTGATGGCAGCTGTCCCGGTAAGACCCGGCCACTTATCACCAGCCACAGTAGCAAGGTGGCTCACATAGAATTCATTCCATCCCCTTGTCATTATTGCCTTAAACTTTACAATATTATTTTCCTTTATTTTTATTTTATTCTTACTGAATACTCAGATTTCAGCTTCCGTGTCATTATGAGCTCTTTTCCCTCTCCTAGCCTCTAAAACAGTGGTCTTTATATCTGTTATGTGCTGATTGTTACTATTTGAAGTGTTGGGGGATTCTTATTAGGGGCTTGAATGTTCACATCAAGAATGATTATACAGCTGCTCCAAAGTCATATTTGGGCAGTAGTTTGGGATATTTCAGTATAATTAAGTGTTAATGTCTTACTTTAAATTTTAGTTCATTTATAAATATCTGAAGTTGTTGAGAGACAATTTTTTAAAATAATGTATGAATTACAGTAATGACCTAGCCGGCAAAGCACAGTCTTTTTATATAAGCATGGTCTTTTTATAAGATAAAATTAGATTTTAACTATTTCAAAGAATTCATTTATGTTATCAAACTTCATTTGTAGTTCAATAATAAGATAACTAGCAAAGCAATATAAAGAACTAATAGTGGAAGGATGAGTCTGTAGCTCAGTGGTAGAGTACTTGCCTAACATGTTTAAAGCCCTGGGTTTCATCCACCAAAACCAATATATTCCTGCCTGATCTTAGATAAATCTCTTATTAAAATTGTTTTAACAAAATTGTAATTTTAAATTAAACTACTTGGTCCTGATAGACTGTTAAATTTTAAGACCTCTAACAGTGATAGAAATAATGTTAAGCTTTATATACATAATCCATATATAATTAAAAACTTCGTTTTTATATATCTAGGAAATCATGGATCGAATCTATAAGAATGTCATGAATAAAGTGAATGAAATGAGTAGTTTTCAGCGGAATTTGTTTATTCTGGCCTATAATTATAAGATGGAGCAGATTTCAAAAGGGCATAGTACTCCATTGTGTGACAGGTAAGCTGCCAGCAGCTGTGTCCTCAGCCCTGGTCCTCCTCCTGTTTGAGGATAGGAAGCAGAGAGGTTATTCTCAGAAACATGTTAATTTGAATTGATTTGTTACTTTTCTTACCCAGCTTCCTTTTAACAATAAGCTTTAAGTTATACTGAAATTTAGAAGTTAGATAACTGTATATTAATATACACATAAATCTGAAGTAAGTTAAAAAGTTTTAGTAAATTCCATAAATATTTATTTTTGAATGGTTAAAAAATGGTATATACTGTGCATATAGTGATATGTATTATGTGCTTATGATGTAAGAAACATTTTGTGGCCAATAATTGGGCAACATGTTGTATAAAATTAAGTCTAACAACTTTAATTTATTTGCAATATTCAGAAAATACTTGAAGAGTTCTTTTTATTTTATTTTTTATTTATTATCAGTACCAAGGGTTGCTTGGCTTGCTCGCTGAGCTTGCTTGCTTGGCTAGTACTGTTCCACTTGAGTCACGCCTCTAATCTGGCTTTTTGCTGGTTATTCTGGAGATGGAGTCTAAAGGGACTTTTCTACTTGGCTGGCTTCCAACCTTGGTCCTTTGGATCCCAGTTTCCTGAGTAGCTAGGATCATAGGTGTGAGTTACTTGAACTCGGCTTTCTTGAGAAATTCTTACAAGGAAATCATATATTTTTTACCTTTACCTTTAAAAATTAACATTCAAGTAGTGGGTCAAGAGACTCTCCTGAATTTTCTGGGTAACCTTGATGGGTCATTTAATCCCAATATTTTACTTAACAAAATTGAGAGATTAGTCTAAAGATAAAATTCTGTTCAGCTTTAAAATTTTGCTTAATTTGTTCTTTTCTTTTTAGCTTTGTTTTCCGGAAAGTTCGAAGCTTGCTAGGTGGAAATATTCGCCTTTTATTGTGTGGTGGTGCTCCGCTTTCTGCAACCACACAGCGATTCATGAATATCTGTTTTTGCTGTCCTGTTGGTCAGGGATATGGACTCACTGAATCCACAGGGGCTGGAACAATTACAGAAGGTTAGTGCTGCCTGTGAGATGTCCGCCTAGTGTCCCATCTGAGACAGGAGTGCAGCTTATGGTGTTATTTTCTCGAGTTATTCTTTAAAATATATGGGAGAAAAGTGGTGTAGATTTGTGCGGAGCAGAATAGATGCTATAATTATTGATCATAATTGTGAAGTTCTTTCCCTACATCTTGGGAGCCCTCTCTGACTTACTCTCCAGCCTGGCTTGGAACTAGAACTGAATATTTTTAAATAGGGTTTGGTAGCTGAAGTGGACACAGAGAGGCAAGAGCAGTCTCATTGGGAGGTAGAGTCACACAGATAGGTATCTACTCCAGTTTTGTGAGGCCTACTAAGAAAGTAGTATGGGTATCCCATCAGCCTCTAACATGGGACTCCAAACACTCTTATCTAACAGGGTTGGCAGTTGATGCTGTGATCTGGATTTCCAGTGTGTGTCACTTTTTTTTTTTTTTTTTTTGGGTCCAGTTGTGGGGCCTGAACTCTGGCCTGGGCGCTGTCCCTCAGCTCTTCAGCTCAAGGCTAGTGCTCTACCACTTGAGCCAAAGTGCCACTTCCGGCTTTTTTTCTTTTTGCTTATGTGGTGCTGAGGAATCAAACCCAGTGCCTCATGCATGCAAGGCAAGCACTCTACCACTGAGCCACATTCCCAGCCCCAAACTACTTCAGATATTTTTTTTTCCCCTCTTTTGAATAGTTTATTGGACATGAGTCTCATGGGCTTTTTTTTTTTTTTTTTTTGGTCGGTCATGGGCCTGAATTCTGGGCCTGGGCACTGTCCCTCAGCTCTTCAGCTCAGGCTAATGCTTGACCACTTGAGCCACAGCACAACTTCTGGCCTTTTCTGCTTGGTGCTGAGGAATGGAACCAGGGCCTCATGCATGCAAGGCAAGCGCTCTACCTACCACTGAGCCACCTTCCCAGCCCCACTGAGCCACCTTCCCAGCCCCACTGAGCCACCTTCCCAGCCCCACTGAGCCACCTTCCCAGCCCCACTGAGCCACCTTCCCAGCCCCATTGAGCCACCTTCTCAGCCCCATTGAGCCACCTTCCCAGCCCCTAGTCTCACAGACTTTATTGTCCCCACCTGGCTTTGAGCTGTTATTCTTTAGACTCAATCTCCTGAGCAGCTAGGATTACATGAAACACCAGCACCTGGCATAATTTTTATTTTAAAGATGATTTTAATAACAATATCCAATTCAGTTCCCTTCCCTGCCTTTTTGCATATGGGGCAAAGTGTAATTTGGGGGCATGTTAGTTCAACACGTAGTAAAGACTAGACTCTGAGTTGGCTTTATCTTCATGCTGGGTTTTGCTGTTGAGTCTGCCTACTTGTGGGGCTTTTCCAGCCTGTAGTGGGAAGTCAGGACTGTTCAAAACTGCACCTGTGCAGACTGCACAGCCTGTGCTCCTGCTTTAGTGGTTCTGTGCGGATTCCTAAGCTATGGCGTCAGTTCACCATTTCTAGTAAGTTGAGGTATTTAATAAATGAAAAAATGAGGTAATGTTTACTGTTCTCACCTTTCTTCCTTTTGCATATTAGTGTGGGACTACAATACTGGCCGAGTGGGAGCACCACTAGATTGCTGTGAAATCAAATTAAAGAACTGGGAGGAAGGTAACAACCTATGTTAACTATAGAGGTTTAATTTTTATAGGATAAAACTTGATAAATTATTTCATTTTCTGTATTCCTTTAGAATGCACAGTCATCTACAAGTGCTTGTTTTGATTCCCCCCCATCCCCTGCTGGTCCTGGGGCTTGAACTCAGGACCTTATGCTGTCTCTGAGTGTTTTTTTTTCTCCTCAAGGCTAGTGCTTTACCCCTTGAGCCACAGTTCTACTTCTAGCTTTTTTGGTAGTTTACTGGAGATAAGTCTCACAGACTTTCCTGCCTGGGCTGGCTTCTACCTGTGATCCTCAAATCTCAGCCTCCTGAGTAGCTCTAGGATTACAGGTGTGAACCATCAACATCTGGCTGTTTTTATTTTAAATGCCTATATTTTTCTAAAGCTACATACGTAGTATCACCCCTTCCATTATTTTTCTCCATCCTTTCCAATCCAAACTCTCTCTTCAGTAGGCTATGCATTGAATATTATGACTACTTGTAGGTTTCATGTCGATGAGCTTTGTTATCCAGTCTGCTTTCTTTGGGAAACTTTAATTGAATTTTGAATTAACACATGGTACACTTAAGGATCAAAAAAGTGAATTAATTACATTTACTCTGTTTACTAGGTGGATATTTTAATACTGATAAACCACATCCCCGAGGTGAAATTCTTATCGGTGGTCAGAATGTAACAATGGGATACTACAAAAATGAAGCCAAGACAAAAGCTGACTTCTTTGAAGATGAAAATGGGCAGAGATGGCTCTGTACTGGAGATATTGGAGAGTTTGACCCTGATGGTTGTTTGAAGATTATTGGTAAGCAATCATATCTTTTCTTGGAAGTGAATGCTTCTCAGGTGGTTTTGTGCAGGAGGTATGGTATGTTTTTTAGTAGCTCTTTAATGATGTAAGAGCATATCTTCTTGTTAGTGGCAGTCTGGTCTATTGTCTCTGTAATACAATTACTTAATTAATTTGTTGTGCCAGCAGACTTGGGCTTGCCTGGCTGCTGTCCCAGAGCTTGGTTTGTTCAAGTCTGGTGCTCTACTATTTGAGCCGCAGCACCACTTTTGGCCTTTTGATACTTTTTTTTGGGGGGGGGTCTGGTCATGGGGCCTGAACTCTGGGCCTGGGTGCTGTCCCTCAGCTCTTCAGCTCAAGGCTAGCGCTCTACCACTTGAGCCACAGAGCCACTTCCAACTTTTTTCTTTTTGCTTATGTGGTGCTGAGGAATTGAACCCAGGGCCTCAGGCATGCAAGGCAAGCACTCTACCACTAAGCCACATTCCCAACTCTGTTTTGTTTTTAAAGGACATTTGTAGCTGGATGTGGTGGCTCACACTTGCATCTCAGCACTTACGAGAGGAAGGTGAGGCAGGAGAGTTTTGAGTGCCCGGCAGTCTAGGCTGCCACCATTTATATGTATTGAAGTATTAATATTCTCAGTGTTTCCCTCTCCCTGCTTTTGTTCTGCACAGATCGTAAAAAGGACCTTGTAAAACTACAGGCAGGGGAATATGTTTCTCTTGGGAAAGTGGAAGCAGCTCTGAAGAATCTCCCTCTGATTGATAACATTTGTGCATATGCAAACAGGTAAGAAGGTGGAATTCACATTTCCATCCTATATGAGCCTCTGCAGAACTTTTCTAGGAACTCTTCCTCTTGATTTCTGAGCATGGCCTCTTCCTTAGAGCCATTTACGGATTCTTTCCCTAGAATGCCTCCCCTCACCTTCCTGTTTCCTTCTTTCCATCTCTTACACTGTGGTAGAGAGCCACAGCTTTGCTGCCTCTAGCTCCCTGTCCTTGTGCACTGAAGCTTCACAGAGCTGTCCAGTGGTGTTAGTGAGCAGCCCACTGCTTAACTACCTTGCCTTTAGCTTCCCCTGCTCAGCACTTGGGGGGAGTTGGCCACCTGAAGGAAGCGCTTGTTAAGCTGCAGAGTAACATACCATTGCTGCTTGGGAAAGGAATTGTTAAAATCCCAGAACCACATGATTGGGAATGTGTTGGAAATGCAGACTAGAACTATGATTACACTAAATAATCCACATGGTCATTATTCTCCACTTTCGATGATGTTACATTTTATGTGTAAGCCAAGGAATCTGTCAGTAGAGGTTGCTATAATTAGGGAAAATCAAGTTTCAGAAGGATCAATTTAGAGACTTTGGTTTATAGCTCAAGTTGTAGATGAAGTTCAGAATGAATGCCATTTTCTGAAGTGGAGTTTTTTTGAATCTTGGAAATTGGGTAATCTCACCTCTGGTTTTCCAACGGTTTTGCCCTTTAACTAGCCATCAGTGGTTTCTTCAGTACTGCTATCGGTCTGGATGTAACTAGGTCCCAATAACCAGGCCTGTCTTTTTTCTTCCGGATGTAGCTACCATTTCTTCAGGTTGAAGTTTTTATAGTCTTCACAGGTGTCTGCCTCTGGCATGTTGAGAGTCCCTTTGTCCTCACAGATTCTCACAATAAGAAAGTGGACATAGGGGCTGGGAAGGTGTCAGTGGTAGAGCGCTTGCCTTGCATGCCTGAGGCCCTGGGTTCGATTCTTCAGCACCACATAAGCAAAAAGAAAAAAGCCGGAAGTGATGCTGTGGCTCAAGTGGTAGAGTGCTAGCCTTGAGCTGAAGAGCTGAGGGACAGCGCCCAGGCCCAGAGTTCAGGCCCCATGACTAGACCCCCCCCCCCAAAAAAAAGAAAGTGGACACAATCACATTATTTTGCTTTGCTGTTACATTTCTTTAGATAAAATCATTAACCTATTAGATTTGTTTTTAACATATGGCTGTTTTTCTTAAAGGTAAATTTTTTAATGTTTTAATTTTCTTTTAAAAATGCATATTTGGCACCCATTGCTATGCATTGGTGGACAGCACTATTAGCTCTTGAGAAAAGGAAGCATTCATGTTCAGGAAATGTCAGTTTTAAAATGGTGTTTGCTAGGTACACATTAACTTACACTTCTGGCTAATCACATTCTAGAATAATCTGGAGGCCAACTATTACTAAAAGTATAATAATATACGTATCATATACTTACATATATAATAGTGTGCAGTTACGTATACTTGGAATTTATGAACAATTTTAAATGCTAAAGTACTGGAATGTATCATGTAAGACTAGCTGCTATTACAGTTGCTACCAAGTAGGGCCCATGCAATAAAAGAAAATTAGAAAATGTCAAGGCAATCAGTAACTTCAGTTAGTATTAGTACTATTTTGTTCCTTAGCTAAATTGCCCTTTGTACATTTCAGCTATCATTCTTATGTCATTGGCTTTGTTGTGCCAAATCAAAAGGAACTAACAGAACTAGCTTTGAAGAAAGGACTTAAAGGGTCGTGGGAGGAGCTGTGTAACAGCAGTGAGATGGAAAACGAGGTCCTGAAGGTGCTTTCTGAAGCTGCTGTTTCAGGTGAGTCCTCTGAATGGGACTGATGGCAAGAGCTGAGATGGAAGAGCATGCCTCCTTCCTGCTCACCAAACGCTCCCGTCTCCCAAGCACCCAGGCTGTTCCCATCCCACAGCTGATGCCACATCTCTTAAACTCTCATCGGGCAGCTTTGTTTCCTACTCATTGATTGTGTCCTTCTGTTCCAGAATTTGTTTGGTTCTTTCTTGTAGGTGATTTTTCTGCTTTTTAAACCTGTTCATATTATTTCATGTTTATCCTCAGTTCATGAATTGCCTTTTTCTACTCTTTAGTTGGCTAGCATTTAAAATCTTTTTTTTTTGGGCTGGGAAGGTGGCTCAGTGGTAGAGCACTTGCTTTGCATGTCTGAGGCCCTGGGTTTGATTCCTCAGCACCACATAAGCAAAAAGAAAAAAAAAGCCGGATGTGGCACTGTGACTCAAGTGGTAGAGTGCTAGCCTTGAGCTGAAGAGCTGCTGGACAGCGCCCAGGCCCAGAGTTCAGGCCCCACGACTGGACCCCCCCCCAAAAAAAACCCAAAAACAAACTTTTTTTTCTTTGTTGGTTTTGATGGTACCGGAGTTAGGAACTCTAGGTTTCTAACATCTGAACCACACCAACTCCTCTCCTCCTGTTTTGTTTGCTTTATTTGCCTTTTCCACAGGGTCTTACATTTTTGTTTAGGCCATCCTTAGAACCACAGCCCTTCTACCTATGTGTCCAGAGTAGCTAGGATCACATGTGCACACTGTCGTACATGGCTTGCTTATTTTTTATTCTTATTTTTATTTTTGGGTCCGGTCGTGGGGCCTGAACTCTGGGCCTGGGCGCTGTCCCTCAGCTCTTCAGCTCAAGGCTAGCGCTCTACCACTTGAGC